GCCACCCAGACGATCACGTTGGGTCGTTCAAGGCACAGCTGCCCTTGCTCTAGAGGTAAGACGTCCACGACCTGCCCACGTGTTGGCAAGAGCTGATCTTAATGGAGCACAGTTGAACAGTTTCACTTTGTTGTTTTAATTTGTTTTAATTTCGTGTGATAATAATAAATTTTAGGCTTCAAATGTCAGAGGACCTATGATTCAACCTAATAATAAGTTCTTTCACCAACTTTGGCATAAGTTGGTCTTTGTATAGACTACGTACGTATTTGAGTCACTTCTATTTCTACGGAGAGTCAAATGCATGGCGCACCCTAAAGGATTAATCTGAGCCACGCAATTTTTCACTTCTGTCTAAAAGCATAATTTCTCTAGCACTAATTTATTAGTCAACGTTTTCGTATGTGTGCGTGTCACAACATAACATTACTTATGACACCAATCCAAGCACATCAGAACGGGCACACAACGTTTAAACAGACGTGGTAGTAGTCATGACAGCAGAAGATGAAATTGATGACGACAAATAAAAAGAAGTGAGAGAAAATGAGGCTGAAAGAGAAAGTGCATATCGGTGTGGCGTTTATTTTCACAGAGAAAGGCAGTCAATCACTGATGATAGGGGGAAGATATTTAAAAGAGTCAATCGTGAGGACAGTGTTGATGACGTCAGATGAGGTAAAATGACCTCCAAACACATTACAAAAAGGTGCGAGTGGGACCAATCAAAACTTGTAATAACATTATTACAACTATATAATTCTAAACCGGGTATTAAATCTCTGACTTTCAATACTAATATTGCAGTGGAGAAACAGAAGGGGACATTTGAGGAATGGACGGGATAAGGACACAGCGGCAACGTCTCTATAAGCCCCAGTGGGCTTAACGAGGGCACCAAACGGGAACCTAGAAAGTCAACAGAACAAAAACAAAAGAGAGGAACGATAACGAGAGAAAGCGAGACAGATTGCTCGCGGAAGAGAAAAAGAAGAATTAGAGAGGAGGATTTGACAGCGACAACGCCGGCACCATCACCGGCTCCACCATCACTGCCCCAGATGGCGCAGCGCTGTCAGGCCACGACGATCCTGAGAAGAACCACCAAATGGCCATTGAAGCTTTTGGGGTCGAATGTGCTCGGCTGGCGGTGTCACAATTAGTAATCACAGCGAGTAGAAGAACACTCGATCAAAGCACTCGGTCAAATCCTCGCCGTCGTCGTCGAGACTCTCCACATCACTCGCTCCATCGGATGCCGTTTCCATTGCATCCGAACTCATAGCGCCATCGTTGGTATAGGCGCTACTCGCCTTACTCACACCAATAATACGGTTCCTGAAACAAAATAGTATGAACCATGTTTTACCCAATAAGAAAGGGATTGCAAAAGGTAAAAAGAGCTAAATCCGCTTACCACTCATCAATGCCAGCATAATAATAAACAGGTGGTAGCGCGTGCTCTCCATCAAGCGGCATCGTGTACGCTCCAGCATCTTTCCAGAGAAGCCACTCGCCAACACAGAGTTGACGACAGCGAATCAGCGACTGGGCTACGTCTCCTGGCTGGAGTGATGCGCCAAGCACAGTTCCAAAATGCTGAGGTGCATCGGCGATTTCCTGAAAAAACGTACGTTATCGAAACAAGGTCGAGAAAATACTTTTAGGCCTTTTACAAGAGCCTTTAGGTCCGAATAGCCATACGTAAGATAGCAACGGAGCAAAATCGAAAAACTCGAGGGTGGCAGAAAATATGGCTCATCACCCGCCACAGTACGGCACTAATAAGCGCGCGGTCGCGAAGCGGCCAGGCCAGGTCAGCTAAGGATCTGTTTTGCGACACAGTAGCTGATTTGCACAAACTGTTGACATGATGTGGTCAATGACCTTACTGTAATAAAGCTCAAACGGCTCCTTTCGATCTCCATAGCCATCAAAACAACAATTTGGCCGAATTTCGTAACACGATCAAACAAGAAGCTCATACCCCTTTTCCATAAAAATCCGCCCTCACAAAAGAAAACTCTCGCGTGGAAGCCTTATGCTGAAAAATGGACCCACCTTTGCCATCTCAAAAGTCATCAGTCAAATAAAAGAGTGCACTTTCACGGCAGTTTAAGTCCTTAATTCCGAGTGTTTGTTTAACCTCAACAGCCCAAAGCCTCCATTTTTGAAAATGGTCAATTGGTGATCTAGCGCTTAACTAGCGGTCACCACATGCACATGCCGGCTGACCGACTCTCACAAAACCCAAAGAACTATCCATCCCTCCACAGAAACATAAATTGCACCAAGTTCACCTGGCAGGATGCCAACACTTATTTTGGCTCTCCGTCCTTAGGAGGGACACTGTAGTGCGTGGGCCACCCATAGAACTCGGGGCCATGCCTTAGGGAGGGGAAGGGAGAGGTTGTGTTCTCCCTGGTGTTTGTTCCCAATAATATCTCAGTCCTAGTGTCACCTACCTGCGTTTTTTGAGTGCCCTGTTGTGAATGTCCCCCCTAGGGACATGAGCCGTAATTTGACATCAGGGTCTACGCAGGTCACCGAATAGGGGAGAGGCATTCAGAAAAAGACCAGGTTGCGAATGAAAGCCGAAGGTGTGACAATTTCAAAATGTTATAATGTCCATGGGATTACTCACATCCAAAGGAGTGCACAACGGTTGCGAATTCATCAACACACATCCAAACGATCCATATACGCTGTCGTTGGTTTGATAAACAAATCCAACACCATCGTCGAAATCTAAAGAAATCCAAAATTATAAAGCTGAGAATTAGAAACAAGAAAGACCTTTCTAAAATAGTTCATTAACTAAAATCTGCTAACCGTCTTTCGTGATGTGACGCGCTTCCAGTGCTTGCTTTCCGATCACGTTGGTGCATAGTACAAATGCAGCGGCAGCGAAATATCTGAAACATGAAAAAGATAGAAACTCAAGAAAGGTCGATCCCTTGAATCGATATCATCGATACAGCAATTTTTACTACTAAATAGCGCGCACCGCATACAGATAACGACGGCCAATAACCAGGCGGCACTTCGTGCTGTGTTCCTACCAAACGCTGATTAAAATGGCAAGCTCAGGAAACCACTCACATAATAGTACGGCCTAAACCAACCTACACAACTCGTAGGAACAAGTACAAAATTCATTCAGCCTTTCTATGACCAAGTAGTGCACGAAATTTTCAGACTCTCTATGTGCAGGATCTTTTTCAGTTACGTTCTCCATTATATTACTGTATGGCTAACAAGTCTAGGAAAGATATCGGGAAAGCCGTGCTGATGAACAACGGTGTGATAACCAAGACCGCTGATTTTTGAAAAGCTGGGGGTACTATCGTTCCTTGAATAAGAAACTGATGATCGCGCCAATCCACTTGCTCACCCTACGCAGTTAATTTCCTGGATGAGTTAGTACTTAGATTGACCATCGCATTTAAGCCTCATTGTGATACGGTATGCTCCTTATGTCATACCATAGTTCATTATGGGTCAAGTGGGCATGAATAGTCACATTTAGACACAAGTTATTGGAAATAATTGAGAATTTTCAGTATTTTTCAAAGCGATAAACTCGAGTAAGGACCGTAAGAATATAACTGTCTTTATGAACGGATCATTGCAAGCTTGGATTTGTAAGGAAGCAAAATGATACCCAAGAAGCGAATACTAGGTCTCAGTCGGGGATGGGGTTAAAGTGGGGTAAGATACCTTCTTTGAAATTTTCAGCGAGAAGACGAAAACGTCTAAATGCTTGGACATTCAATACAGATGAATACAATTCGATAACACTTGATTCCACAGGGACTCGGGCCTCTAACTCCTCAAATGCTAGCCTTGCCTTGCCCACCTGTGCATTTTTAACGAAAAATATAACTCTGATGAAAGAAGAAAAGTTGCAGAGTAACTAACCTTCCTGGCGTCGCAATCACTTTCAGTTCTGGAAACTCTCTGCAAGAGAACAGCTGATCTAGACCGGCATTGATCACATCGCACATCTGAAACTCAAGAGATGTAATGTAGTAGCACTTTGTGCCATTTTGAAGCACTTCAGACATTTCAGATTCAAGGGTCTCTGCTCCAAACTGGAGTAATCTAATTGGAATGAGATCGGCTCGCAACCCACCTCAGGAAATCTTTGCTCTTTGTCCACCTTGCCGGCAGGGAAACCACCACCAAGGTTCACAGTGTTCAGTTCAAGACCGATTTGAGCGGCGAACGAGAACAATGTTCGCACTTCATGGAGCGCTTTGTAGTAGGCGCATGGCGATGCTGCCGACCCAAGATCAAAGCTGAAAACAAACGCAAGGTTAAGCAATAAAAACATGTTTACGTGGCCAACTTCTCGTTGTAAACTCTATTCTAAACGCCAGTACTGTTACCCATGTGTGCAACGGATATCATTTTTAGAGGAAAAACCAATTCTCTACAAATCCGAGTGAGAGTCAATGCATAGCGCGTTTAGACACATCATAAACGCCAAACATTTTTTCTCGCCCTCTTCAAACCGAATTTACCGAATTTATCACACATCAATTCAAGGCAGGCGAAACTCCTTCCATTAGCCTTTTTAAAAGTGCAGCACTCTTTCAAGTTTCCTGTGACTGGTTGACCAATCAAACATAATGTGCGCACGGAATGTACGTTCTCTACCACCTCATTTTTCGCCACGCGCAAAATATCCGAGTGAGTCAACTCTTAGAGTGGCTTAAATCTAGGCCCCACTGTGACATGGTGCACTGGTACACTACTACGTTACACAATATCCAGAGAGGCCTAAATCTAACGTAACTTGCAAGAGACAGAGCGGACCAAAGTTCCGATATTCATTCACATTAGCCTGCTCCGAAATCATATAGAGCTTTCCAAAATTTCAAGCTTGGTTCACTTGACTCTAAACACACCAGATCGATAAGTATAAGTGTGCCACTCCACGGTCTCACCCTTTGGCACAGAATGTCCTGGATGAAGCACAAGAAGTGGTAACACTGATCTATGCCTCACGGGTGTGCGGTAGAGGCATAGCGCCGTACCGTGTAAAATGAGGCAAAACAATCTGTACATCTGCAGAGCAGAGAATTGCACGAGCACCACGATAAAGGTCAATGACCAGTGCAAAAACAGAGGAATTTTCTATACCGACTAGCTTTGGCACTATATGACATGAATATGAGTTCAAAAAGAAAGAGAAGTAGGAGCATCAATGATTCTATCTCAAGCGAATTTCAGAAAAGAAAATGTTGAGCATAGTGCCCTTCGCGTTTCTACGATAACAAAACATTAACAAGATTCAAGCAGAATGACCAGCTGCGACTTTTCTTCTTTTACCCTTGGAAGCTCGCCCGTTGCCTCCCAGGTGCAACAAGGCCTCACTAGAAAGTCGAGCAAAAGAAAATCAGTAGCCGATGAATCAGTTTGAGCATAATCCAGCTGTGCCATTCCAGTGCATGTCCCCTTTAATTCTGATATACTGGGTGATCCGCCATGAGATGGACCTGTTTCGACCTGATACGGTATTCACTAGCAAATAGTATACCGTAGTCACAAAAAATCGGACAAAATCATGAAAACCCTTATTTTCTAAATGACTAGCTGGGCCAGTCACAGTGCGGTAAAAGTTTACGATTTGTGGGTGCCTCCAAGTGTTTCAGTCGATATTTTTCTGGAATTTGACCAGACAAAGTTTACTGTAGAACCTATTTCACCAATTTTAGACTTGACAGAGGCGCTAAGAGTCTACAGTTCGCCAGAAACATTACAGATCTTTGAAAAGCTCTTGGAAACTTTTGCAACTTTTTTTCTGAAAAATTTCGAGCATTTTGCAATATATTTTGGGGTCTCCACTGCTTTTACACAGTTGTTTTCTAGATTTTCAGAGGTGCGGATTCATGAAAAAACCGTTTGCAGGGGGGTGTAGCCCTTCCGACAGAGACGCGAAGAGAGAGCTAAAAAATGTGTTCATAGCTGTTTGTTCTTTAGCAATCATAGATAAATGTGCCATTCCAGCGCTTGTCACCCTTTGACATCCAAAAGTCATGGATGACCTAACTTGAAATGGAGCTGATTTTGGCCTCTTTATAGAACGGTAAGCATTGTGATATCATACCGTAGCTAGCGAGAGGCCAGTATAAAAATAAACGACTGCAGATTATTTACGAAGAACTTCAAAAGATCATAGAAGATCGACTCGTGTCACCCTTCGACAACATTTAGTATTGGATAACCTCAGCCATCGTGTTATGCTATAGGCTAGCGCAAGGCAAGAAAAATCCAGAATTAATGAAACATCCCATAAAAAGTGCTCCACAGTGAATGTTCCGTTCCAGATGGTCACCCTTTGGTTTGGCACTATTGAGTCCTGGATGACTATGGATGGAACGGCTTATTTTTGGCCTCACTTTTGTACGGTACGTGCCGTAATGTCATACCGTGCCGGGAGAGGCCCTGTTGCAGCTGTTAGTTGGAATTTGCATTGAATGAATTGAATCATGCGATACAATGAAAAAAGAGGCTCTAGATGTCCACAAATTTAACATGCATAGTAGAGGAGTAAAAACAAAATATTTACTTCAGATTAACAGGCTAAAATTTTGTCGAACCTCAAGCACCGAACAAAAGAAAGGGATCACGGATTCTTTATAAATCCCCCTGAATGGTGCTAAGTGGCGAAGTCTATTCAAAATCTGCAACCGAGCGCTAAACCGAGAGCTGTTCAGAAACAGGAAATTACTTTCGAAAGCATTAGGCCTATAAAGGAATTGAAATAAATCAAGAACATCTGTAGAAGTCAACGCCCAGCCGTTCCCGTTCGACATCTTTTACCAGCTAAACAGACCCGGATGGATGGGAGCTCGGTAGAATTAGGGGGTATCCAGCCTGGGATTCGATTCTCGAACCTCTCGAACCACCCTCATCTATGTATCCTAGCTACAACAGATTCTTATGAAAAAAAAACCAACAATATCGATGTGTTTTCAACGGACTGATTTAATTCGCATCGTAGAGTAGTCTCTTACAGTAGCTAGCGCCGGGCTAAAATCAAGTCATACCAAGACAAATACTTCACAATGTAACCATTCCGGACCGTCACCCTTCGGCACTGTTACCACGCCCTGGATGAAGTTATAAGAATGGTGTCAATTTTGACGTTGTCATGGTACGGTAAGTAACACAATGTCATACCGTAAAGCCTCGAGGTCATTCCTAGCAAAGAAAATTCGTTAACTATGTTCCAAATTCGTAAACAGACCCAGATTACAAGCGGAAGTTGAACTATTCCAAAAAAATTCTCTAGATGCGACGCCATCAGCAGACATTTTTCCTCAATTAACCAATCCATGGATTAATCAGAAAGGCTTACAGACGGGAAGCGAAATTTTAACCAAGTCTCTTCCTAAACTTAGCTCCACGTACGTACTACCACCGGCAGGGTCATAGCGCCACAGCAGGTGCCCAGAACCAGCAGCATCTGGGACGGGTAATTCAAAGTGAATGCTCAACGTATGTACCATTCGAGGAATATCACCCTTCGACGTTGCAAGGTCTAGGATGACCTAGATTAAAATGGCATCGATTTTGGCCTCATTATTGTACGCTACATGACATAATGTCACATAGCACGAGAACAGAGGCCGATCTCACCACAGCAGTAAAAATGTGCTAGACCGGCCTTATCCGTGGTCCGGTACCCCAAAATATACGCGGCTTGAGCACAAGAGTTACAAAAGGCGATGAAGAATCACAAATTGGACTCAGAAAACTCAGTACTATTATTAACAATAGAGTATGCGTTCATTAGTGTACGTACAGCGGCGGACTTTGAGATGAAGATGTGAAGCAGGATTCCACGATCAGGTGGAGGTCGAAGAAGGGGGAAGCTCCCTAATGGAAAGACGGGTGAACCTCCTAAAAGGGGACTGACACGCAATTCGGAGCGAATGATATGCCCCGGCAATCTAGCATGGCCGTCTCCATGTCGCTGTCGCCGCAGCCCGCCCTCTCCCCCCCCCCCTTCCGTCCGTTCCAGTCTCTTACGAAAGCGCTAGCGTTGATGAGATCAGCACCGATGGGACACGCCTGACGCGCAAATCAACGGGCAGAGCAGAAATCCATTCTTCGAGGTCTTGGTATTTTTCCTGGTATTTCATTCTTGCATCACTAAACACCTCTACCGCGATTTCTAGTGGGCTGTCTTTTTACCTTACACTGCGCCCTTAAACTGTGCCATCTCTCGAGGCCATCTTGGGATCGAAGATCCTGAATGAGCACCGCGTAAGAGGTGGGAAATGGTACGTCCAATAGCCTGGAATTTAGCAACGATAGAAGAGCGGCTATATGAAGGTAAAAGTCCTGACAAATAAGCGGGGAACGGGTGGGTTAGTAGGATAGCAGAACTCGACACGTGATACAAACTGTACCATTCCATTACTTAACCTGCGACATTGACAAGTCTTGGTTGACCATAATATTGAAATGGTACTGATTTCGGCCCTTTTGTAGTACAGTATGCACTGGAATTCATACCATACCAGTAGACAGGCCAAACAAGCCGCACATGATTGAGGTGCGATAGTACAGCCTTAAAGCAGATCTGAGGTACCAGGTTCCAGCTCCAACAACCCCAGTCTTCCGCAAAGTCCAACACGAAATATTATACTTGAATGATAAAATGTTTGGCTGCGGTCCTTTTGTAGTGCACCATGCACATTTTCTTACCAGAAACGCAGGCTTATCTGAATAGGACCTTATCAGTAGATATACAACTTATTACTAACACAATACTGTTTTGTTTCTTACAAGAATTAACCTATAATTTTAAGTTCAGCAATACAGTCCAATTTTATATGCCATCCGTACACTAAACTACCGTCACACAGCCACATATGCCCTTACCGATCATTCTTTGAAAGCAGAACATTTAGTTGTACCATTCCATTCTATCACCCTATGACATCATTAGGTCCTGGATGAAGGCCTCTGAAAACGTCACTGCTATCGGCCTCATGGCAGCACGGTATGCACCATATCAATGTCATACCGCTAACGAGACAGGCCTTCAGCAAATGATGGACAGAGCCCCAGTCCCTCAAAATCGTTATCACGATCAGGCGCTGAATAGGGCGTTTTTTTCCAAAATCGGAATGAGGACCGCAATTAGCCAGAATTTTCAAATTCATATTATTGGACAGCATTTGACTTTTCTGAGAAAAACATCGATCATCTTAGACAAATTAGAACTGTCTAATGCCTGTGCTTTTCCCTTCATTCCATATAGCTTGATGGATAAAGGGACGACTTCAAAGGCGAAAATTACGATCAGAAGGCAGCCCATTAGAATTAAGATAAGGTGGTTAGTGGTGCTGGACGGAGAAAAAAAACCATGAGAAATGGCCCAGAACCCAAGAAATGACCCCTTCCTTGCCATTTGATTTCCGCATTGATGCGACTCTCATCGGTGCTGCCCAAACCGCCAACTAATCAACTAACTGCTAAATAGCCAACTTCAACGCTAACTCTCTCTCTGCTAAACGGCCACAGACCTGCGGTGAGTGGTTAGCAAGTGGTGGGCGTGCCGTGTCGATAGCGTCGCAGGGATGGTCATGTTAGATGGTTGGGGGGGGGCATACCCTTCGCTGCGAATCGCGTCCTTGAGGGCTCCACCTGTCTTTCCAGTCAATAAATACCTTCGACCTTACCGTAGAATGCGTCTTTAATGAAAGCGAACTATCGTCTAACACTTTTGAACGAAAGGAGCCTTTGTAGGAACACTCGATGGGAATGATGGCTTCAACGCATGTACCATTCCAAGGATTCACCCTTCAGCACTATCAAGTCCTGGATGAAGAATACAGAAATGGCTTTGATTTTGGTCTCATTACGATACGGATATGCCACAATGTCACACCGCCGGTCATGAGACCTTACAAAATATATCAATGGGCTCTCTGCGAACTTCACTTGGGGCTACTGCATAGATTTTAATTCTGCGGCTGCAGAACAAAGCGAAAAGCGACACACTAAGAATGAACATGCACAAATGACAAGCACACTGTAGAGAAGAGTTTTGTGCACTCAGCCTTGATGGCAACGTGGGATGAAAGAAGAACAGCGTAGATACAATCCGCTGTCCACATCAAACATAAAGCGTGGACAATTCACCGTGAATCCGACCTAATCTTGGGGATAAATGCAGACAAGAGCATTAGCAAAAAACTGTGCCATTCCATCTCGTCACCCTTTGGCAATGAAAAGTCCTGGATGAAGTCCGCACGAAATGGCACTGATTTTGGCCCCATAATAGCACGGTATTTGCCATTCTGTCACACCGTGTACTCCCAGAGGCCGCTGAAACCATCCGAATTGAAAATTCGGCGAACAAAACCAGTTTGAGTAGCAATTACCCAAGAGATAGATTTGTGCAGCTGCACAGAATTTTAAGGAAGCCTTATTGCGTAACACTACTGAAAGAGCCAAGCCATAGCAATCACGGACCTTCAGGAAATGTCGGTCACCGTCGGAATGGACAAGCAGAGGTAGGAAATGGTTTATGATTTCACGGAGCAAGAAGTACTTACTGTACCAACTCATTTTCTCACCCTTCGGCACTAGTGGTTCCTGGATGAGTGTGTTCTTGGGTTGACATTTATCTTGGCTTCTTTATGCTACGGCCTGTGCTGGCTTGCACATACCGCAATGGTAGAGGCCGACCTTTTCGCACATTTAAAAATCGTGCACAAAATGGGGAACAGTACTGGCTAAGGCTCCAGATACACGAAAAACAATCGTTACCTGATTCCAACTACTTTCGCACGGAGCTCAAATGCAGTCATCAGCAATCCTTCGACTTCTTCGATGTGTGCACCTTTCTGGGCCAGCAGCGAATCGCTGTCACCACGACATTCGCTCAGCGAGATGGCCAAAAGAATGCTGAATAAATACTTTGAATATTAAAACAAACGAGATCAAAAACCATAACAGCTCTAAGAACTCACCGAGCATGTGGTGCGTAGCTGATGGCATCCATGAGCTGTTTCTCATTCTCAATCACAATGGTTCCGACTTCACATTCACCAGCAATTCGCATAGTTTTGCGGGTCCAAAGCGGACAGTCCATAATGATTCGGTCGGCGGAAACAAGTTCAAGAGCCTATAAATAGTTTTATTAATGAATGATTTGTAGCACAAAAAGCCGAGAACTCACCACGGCCAGCTGTTGCGCATCCGATACAACAAATCCGAGGCGTGCACAATCAGCGAGCATCCTCGCCAGTACAGGATCGGCATTGCAACGAAGTGCATAGTAGGCCTGGACGCGTGGTAAATGATCTTGCCAATCGTCGACACGAGCCATTACCGATGGCATGTCCATGACGAAGAAAGGCGACGCTCCTGGCTGAAAATGTTGGAATAAGAGTAAAATCGATGATTGAGGCGATTAGAAAGCAGCCAAAACGAGTTCAATTCAGCAGAACGTACCCTGCAACTAAGCCAGCTTTACAGAAATGAAGAACAGAAACTGCTCCAATCTCCTCACAAATTTCGAACCCTATCCATTCAACCATTCTGCCACTTACCCCTCCCCGAGTCGAAAAATTTTCCCCGCAACGCACTTCCCAAAAATAGAATTTCTGACCATCCCAGAGTCAAGTCTCCTTCAAACCTATCTCACAACTACGTGACACTGACGCTCGAGCACAAGCCCCTGTTCTGAAATTTTGATTACAACAAT